GCACTCTAGGCTAAAAATAATTAAATTATACTTTAATATACAAATTTACAAGATTTTATGTATTATCAGTAGGGTTGTAAGCCCTTGTAAGTTACGTAACTTACACTGTAACTTACGCGTAACTTACATGTAACTTACAAACCCATTACTAGCGACACCTATTGGCAAAATATCTGAAACTCACTCTAATAAACTTTAAAATTTACATAAATTTAATTAATTTTCAAAAATAAATGAATTTAGTTAAATTTGTTTATTTAAGTAACAATTCTATTACTTTCATATTGGTTTTAATGTAAAAATGAACTGTTTTATATTCATAATTTAACAATGTTAGGTAAAATATTTATATGTGATGAAATAATAACTTACGAAAAATACCGTAAGTTAACGTAAGTTACGTAAGTTACCGAGTGAAAAAATAAATTACATGTAATTTTCATCTCTAATTAGCAGTGAGTTCAACGATAAATACATTAATAAGACTGTAAATAATAGCAAACTAAACAATTATCATTTTTATGTATAGTGAAAATGAATACACAAAATATTTGCTGTTTTATCATAACTTATTAATTTAAAAGTTCATTTTGGTAGTTATTATGTAATCAATAGATTAAAATCAAATTACAATTAACTACTTCTTTTACCCCACTCCCCCTTTAATCTCAACATAAAGTTACATTGCAATTTAACATTGGCATGAACCCCTCCCCCTACGAGTGCGTACATATTTTGATACAGTAATAACTTTTTACACTATATTATTATATTTAATGATTGTACAAGATTAATTTATTGTGTAGTAAAATGCGTGCGAAACTTATTAAAACATGAACTGAGTAATAAACTTACACGTTTATTTAAATAAACATATATTACACAGTTATATTAATCTTTATTTTAAAGTTAAACGGGTATCTCATATTAAATAAAATATATTTATATCATATTATATTCTAGTATATCAATATATCAGTAGCTAGAATCCTTAAACTTACACACAAAAAGGATATTTTAAATTTTGTGATATAGAATACATATAAAACATAAGTCAATAGTACAAAATTAAAAATAACTTTTTTACGTGTAAGTTTATCGTAAGATCGGTGACTATATAAAAAAGGTTGAAAATACAGTATATTTGATTCAATCATTATCTACCGTCTCTTAATGTTGACCAACACTTGTTTAGGAGTTAGCAAAAAGTTACCAGTGAAATAGTCTAACTGTATATAGATTCACGAATTTAATAAAATTAAAATACTCATAAATATCTAGTTATTATACCTTAAATCCCGGTGCTGTCGTGAACTCGTATTTATGTATCAACTTTGCGATACACATTCGCATCTCATTTAAGGCAAACCGTTGTCCGATGCAAAGTCGGGGTCCGCCACCAAACGGTACAAACGCGTAGGGATGGTGCGTGGGATTCACAAACCTCTCGGGTATGAACTGTTCCGGATCATCAAAATTCAAGGGATCTCTATGGAGTATATAGGGCTGAAACTCTAACGTAGTTCCCTTCGGTACTGTAATCCCTATGAGATAACATTGAGTTAAACATTACGTTTAGATACCTATCCCGTGATTACCTGTGTTTCCGAGTTTGTAGTCCTCGACGGACACCCTCTGAACGGAGCTGAGAGGGGGTGCGAGCCGTAGGGTCTCATTGATGACTGCATTGAGATATTTGAGTCCATTTAGGTTCTCATACGTGAAGTCTTCGTCCATTGCC